CCCTGGTGGCGCAGATGGTAAAGAGTCTGCCTGCAGTGTGAGAGACCCGGGTTCTATCCCTGGGTTGGGAAGATCTCCTGGAGAAGGAAATGGCAACCCACTCCAGTATTCTTGCCTGGAAAATCCCATGGATGGAGGAACCTGGCAGGTTACAGTCCATGGGGTCGCAACGAATCAGACATGACTTCACTTTTCTGTGGTTTCTCAGCCAGTGAAGGGGGAACACCTTGTCTGATGAGATGAGCTGAGGAGCCCAGATGGAGGGAGGAAGGTTTACATGCTGCTCTGCTCTGCTCTCAGTAAACATTTCTTTCCTGGAGGCCGGTAAGCCCACCTCTTCTCTCCACTGCCAGGAGTCTTTACCGCCTGTCCTTTGAAAACAGTTCCTTCTCGACTTGCAGGAGAAACTCTGCAAGAAGTGTTGACATTTTGGTCTCAAGATACGGGCGAGGAAAGTGCTGGCCCACCAGAGATGGTGTCTGTGGCATCTCACCGACCTCTAGGGGCCTGTGACTGCAAGTCAGTCCCACCCCAGATGCTGGGCTCGTGGGCTTCATTCCTCTTCTCAGTATGGTTGAGCCAGCAGATACCTGTCAAGATTCTGTGACATGCTTGGCTTCAGAGTGTCGCCGAGTCTTCCTGCCCAGCGCCCACAGCCAGTGCAGACCAGTGTGGCTCCATCCTTCACACAACTTCCCCCAGGCTTTTGGGAAAGACGAGCCTGTAAGGACCAAGACTGGTGGTGCCAAATTCTCGGGGATCCGCTCCCCACCCCCCCACCTCTGGAGCAGCCCCTTTTCTTGTCACATCCAGGGGGCTGGCTTCTTGAGAAGGGAAGAGAATCCGGGCTGTGCCACCCAGGGGGTCCCCTGCAGGCAGTATCTAGAGCAAGGTCTGACCCCTCAGGACAGAGTCAGACAGGCTTCCCCAGCCTGGGGGTGGGCTTTGTCACGGAGCCACATCCTCCAAGGTGCGTCTTAGCACATAAATCACATTCCTGTGTTGTTCTCATGGCCCTGAACACTTGAAAGCACTGAGGGTGGTTCACTCAGACCTCATCTCCAACTGCATTTGAAGCCCCTGGACGGCCCTGCCCCTGAGCTGCTCATTCAGGGGGTCTGCGGTGGGGCCTGAAAATTCGCTTTTTCTGACAAGCACCCAGGTGAGGCTACTGGACTTGGGGGCACAAATTGAGACGCCCTGGCCCGGTTCATCCTCAGGCTTCCTTTAGAACTTGGTGACGTGTAACAGTGCATTTTAGCACATAGATCAGAAGCACAGAGATGCTAGAATGAGTGTTCTCCGAAGGTTCGGCACCCCTTGCTTGGTGTAAACTTAATTCCTCCCATGTCCTCCCATGTCCTTAACTTCAAGGTTTCTATTCAGGAGCCCACAAAATTAAAAATTACTGTCTCTGCTACAGCGGCCAGTTTTACTGCTGTAATGCATATGTACAGGAGACACATCAGGAGGCTAAATTAAGGCCCTTAAATTAAAAGCAAATTCAGAAAGTCATCTGCTGATTGTGGGGCATAAGTAAAATTGAGTCTATCACATAGTGACGCCGACTCACGCACTCCCTCCGTATGATGCCGCTTTGTCTATGAACTGATTAAAGAGTCTCTAAAACTAGCTCAATGCCCGGCTGGTCCTAAATGTAAAACTGAAGTCGCCTTCTATCTTTATCAGAAAGCACAGGCTTTTGGCACAGAACGTATATGCTTCTAAAAATGAACAGATCTTGAAACTACACATTGCTTCTTGAAAACCGGAGGCCCCAAGGGAGAGCTGAGTGGTCCCTAATGGACATGGTGACTGCTCGAGTTTTCACCCACCGGAACTGACCACCATGTGACAGGGGCCAAGGGGCTGAAGCTCAGGCCGTCCTGTCTGTGCAGAGCACCTATTGGGCGTGACCTGTTTACTTTGTTCTGTTTTCAGAATCATACACAGCATCCCGCTTGGGTGGGAATACTGATAACACTGAGGCCAGCTCTCATTCCTCTTGATTAGTCTTGTGTAAACGTGAAAATAGCAGTGATTTGAGAATTGTGCAGTTGATTACTTAAAATGTCCTTCTGTGCCGTTTAGACTATTTTAACTTTTTTGTATTAAAGTATGGCGAATTAATGGCAACCCATTCCAGTACTCTTGCCTAGAAAATCCCATGGACGGAGGAGCCTGGTGCAGGCTACTGTCCATGGGGGTCACAAAGATTCGGACACGACTGAGCAATTTCACTTCACATGGCCAATTAATGAGGCTTTCCCGGTGGCTCAGCGGTAAAAAATCCGCCTGCCAATTCAGGAGCTGCAGGAGACTCAGGTTCGATCCCTGGGCCAAGAAGATCCCTTGGAGAAGGATGTGGCAACCCATTTCAGTATTCTTGCCTGGAGAATCCCATGGACAGAGGAGCCTGGCAGCCTACAGTCCCTGGGGTCGTAAAGAGTCGGACATGACTTAGCGACTAAACAACAGTCGCCAATTAACAGTGTTGTGATAGTTTCAGGTGCGTGGCACAGGGACTCAGCCATACATATACATGTATCCATTTTCCCCCAAACTCCCCTCCCTTCCAGGCTGCCACATAACACTGAACAGAGTTTCTTGTTTTATACAGTATGTCCTTGTTGGTTACTGTTTTAAATATAGCAGTGTGCACGCTGGTGGCTGGTTGATCTGATGAATCATTCATGATGACTCATTTCTTTTTTTGGGGGGGGAACATAAGAGATCAAGTTGGGGAGATAATTTTCAAGTTCTGTATCCCACTCTCCACCCCCTGTAGGCCCCTAATCCTCTAATGGCTGTGATTCTGGAAATAACACATAACCCAAGGCCTACTTGGATCTAGATCTTCCCATCTCTTCCTGAAATTTTATCCCCCCAGTGTTTCCTGGGCTTCCCCCAAGGCATTGGGCCCTGGGTTTAGTATAGAGGTAAGATGAGGTTTTCCCCTCAAAGATTTATTTGGTCTGTTTTGGGCAAAGGGATACACAATTACTAACTAACTAACTGAATATGTCTATCTCTGTGATACTTTTTTAAAATTTATTTATTTTAATTGGAGGATAATTACTTTACAATATTGTGATGCTGACAGTTGTGACTGTTGGGGGCCAGCGGCCCACCACAGATCTGGGTTCTCCCAGACCCCCCTTTCCCTGAGTTGTCATTGGTTTATATGGAGTTGTCTCTCATTTTGCAAGATCTGTTCACTTTTGATCAAACATTTGCAGAGTCAGTGTAAAAACCAATGAAGGGGTGCTTGTTGGTTTTGTCCTGGTGGGAGACACGTGAGCAGGGGCTGGGTTGGTGGGTTATCATCAGCAGTAAGTTCCTGGTTTGGGGAGGGGTGGAAGTCTAGGCTCAGAATTTACTTTAGACCTGGATCATATAGCTCCCAGCATCTGTAGGGCTCTCTGTGGACACAGCCATGGATTAGATGCAGCCCTGATCAACAGATGTGTCAGGATGTCTTCTGCTGGACAGTAGCCAAGGAGGTGTTTCAGTGTTAAAGAATCCACGTGCCACGTGCCACTGCAGGAGACGTGGATTTGATTCCTGGGTTGGGATGATTCCCTGGAGAAGGAAATGACCACCCGCTCCAGTGTTCTTGCCTGGAGAATCCCATGGACAGAGGAGCCTGGTGAGCTGTAGTCCATGGGGTCGCAAAGAGTCAGACACGACTGAGCGACTGAGCAACAATAATGACAAAGCCAAGGAGAGTGGAGCTTATCCAGCCTGGGGATGCAGAGGCATCTCCACGTGGCCATTCTGTGCTCCGAGACCCTCAGGAATGGTTGAACAGAGGGCAGGGTGGGACATCCTTCCATCTCATTGATTGGGTATGTGTCACCCATCGTGTTCCAATCTCATTCCTTACTTGCAGTTATCCACCTTTGCTTTCCTAGCATCTTTTTTCTGTTGTATATTCTTGCCTCCTTTGTCACAGATTAATTGACCCTGAGAGTGTGGATTTATTTCTGGGCTCTCTATTCTGTTCCATTGACTTTTTTTTTTTTATCAAAGAGTATAATTGTACAAAATAGAGAAGTAAAGAACAAAATACAATTATTGGAGGATAACTACCCTACAATATTGTGTTAGCCTCTGCCACACATCAACATGAATCACCCACAGGTGTACATATGTCCCCTCCCTGCTGAAGCCCCATCCTGTTTCTCTCCCCATCCCGCCCCTCTTGGTTGTCACAGAGCACTGGGTTGAGCTCCCTGTGTCATAGAGCAGATTCCCACTGGCTGCCGAATACATATGGTAATGTGTATGTTTCCATGCTGTTCTCTCAGTTCCTCCCACCCTCTCCTTCCCCCACTGTGCCCAGAGGTCTGTTCTCTGTGTCTCTACTGCTGCCCTGCAAATAGGTTCATAAGTGCCATCTTCCTAGATTCCATACACATGTGTTAATACACAATATTTGTCTTTCTCTTTCTGACTTTACTTTGTGTAATAGGCTCTAGGTTCATCCACCTCATTAGGACTCATTCACATGCATTCTTTTTTTTATAGCTGTGTAACATTCCAATTTCATATATATATACACACTGCAGTTTCTGTATTCATTCATCTGTCTGTTCCATTGACCTTGGTGTCTATATTTGGGCCAGCACCATGCTGTTGGCTGAGCTCCTAATAGTGGTAGAAGCCAGGGGAAGTGTATTTCTAGCCACTGCCTATGTACATACCACTTTCTACAAATCCAAGAACTAGCTGGGGAAATGAAAAATGTGTATTGGTTAGCATCGGTGCTGTACATTTCAGAACAAGTCTCCAGTTTTCAAATAGCAAAAGTACATTTTACATTGAAAGTACTAAGTACAGTGTCACTTTTCTTCGATCCAGAACAAGAGCATCTCACCAGCCTCTGGGTGATTCTAAAGATCAGGAGGTGGCTGCCCTGGGTGTGGACTGGAGCCCAGGCTCCCCAGCCAGTGCACGGAGCCCAGAGGTAACCCATGTGTGTTCTCTTTCCCCCACAGCCCAGTGACTTCTCCGTGTCTCTCAAAGCATCAGGGAAGAACAAGCATTTCAAGGTTCAGCTGGTGGACAACGTCTACTGCATTGGGCAGCGGCGCTTCCACACCATGGACGAGCTGGTGGAGCACTACAAGAAGGCCCCCATCTTCACCAGCGAGCACGGGGAGAAGCTCTACCTCGTCCGGGCGCTGCAGTGATGCCCCGGGAAGGCACCCTGGCCGGGCTCTTTTGCAGGCCCCGTTCTCTCCACCTGGTCCCCTCTTTGTCCAGGTCGGTTATTTGCCACCTGCCCCACTCTTTGCCATCCCGGGCCCTCCCGGCTGGTTTTCGTGATGGGAGGTGGACAGAGCGAGTCGGTTCACTTTTTTCCTCCTCCATGGGAGACAGCCTTAGTCCATTCACACCGCTCGCGCCAGCAGACCCCCCCTTACAGACCTCGGGCGCCGTGTGGATGCACCAGAGCTGCCCTTATGTCCATGAGCCACAGAGCAGGCGGCACCTGCCTGGGGAACCCCAGTCCTGACCCCAGCAGCCCTCCATCCATGTCGTTTGTGCTCCCATGGCTCCCAGGCTCTCCGGGGACAACCCCGGGTGCTCTTAGCAATACTGGAACCACCGGGCAAGACGGGAGGGAAGATGCTGTCCAGTGCCTTTGGGGCTGCGCTTGCAATAAAGAGAAGAGGTCCTGGAATGCCGGTTTACAGGAGAGGGGCCGGAGACTGGGGGAGACGGTGGTTTCAGAAATTTCCCCCCGACGTGCCATCAGCAGAGTGCTCTTTCCTCTTGCCCTTCGGCTCGTTTCAATCTCACAGTGATGTATTTAATTCTCAAAGTCATATGTACCGGTAGCCATTTGTTGACACTAATGCAGATGATTAAGGAAAACAGGTGATCTTTGGGGAGGGAAGCGACCCACACTTCACACACACACACACACAAAATATATATATATATATATATATAGTATTTGCTTTACAGGGAAATTTTTCAGGGTTTACAAAAGGATATGTGATTGGTAGTAAGAGACACAGAATGTTTATGAAGAAATTGCATTTTCTTTTCTCTTTACATCCAAACTCCTTTATAGTTCCAATATACAGTCTTGAGATGGCACATTCCTACAGTTGAGGAAGGGGTCTTGAGACCTCCTAAACTGCATACTCAATTTTTTGGATATTGTAATAAAAAAGTATTATGACGAGACCCCCGTGTGTGTTCATCTTTTGCCAAGCCTGGACTGAGCAATGGGGAAGGAGTTCCTATAAGCTTGAGCACTCAGTGCCCCCAGGGGAGCGTTTTGAGGGAGGACTTCTAACAAACTTATTACTTGTGTGTTTTCTTTTTCTACCACCACATTTTTGTATCTCGAAATAATAAATTTTAATTAGCGTGACTCCAAGAGAAACCAGAATCTCAAGTTTGGTCTTAAAATTACTCTTTGGAAATTATATATGTTACCAGACTGTTATCAGCTAGCCTTCTCTCCTCTAGCTTTCCTCTCCCCTCTCCTGCCTGCCTTTCATGCACTGGGGAAGCCGTTGTCCAGCCCCTGTGAGCGCTGGGCCGTGGGAATACAGAGCCAGAGAGCACTGGCTTGCAGCAGACGTGTGCTCATCTCTCCCTCTGTGCTGGACTCAGCATCCTTGTCCCAGCTCCTTGACATGGTCCTGCGATCATACCCATCACACAGATGGAGAAGGTGAGTCAACAGGTGACTGCACGAGGGTGTGGCTGCTGCCTCCTGAAGCAGGTGGCAAGCCCAGGGTCTGGCTTCAGGGCCACACACCCCCCAACACACAGCGCCAGCCTTGGGAGTCACCTCTCTGCGAGTTCATTGTATCTTTAGTTGTTGCCTTTGTTATATATTTGATGATAAATTAGAGATTTGGTGTCTGGTACCTGAAATTGATGGGGCTTAGGTAACTCAGTGATAAAGAATCTGCCTGCCAATGCAGGAGATTTGGGTTCAATCCCTGGGTCAAAAAGATCCCTTTGAGAAGGAAGTGGCAACCTAATCCATTGTTCTTGCCTGGGACATCCCATGGACAGAGCCTGGTGGGCTACAGCCCATGGGGTCTCAAAAGAGTTGGACACGACTTAGGAACTAAACAAGAATCTGAGGTTGGGGGTACCCAGTTACATAAGAATGGACCTCTAGGTGAGTGCAGCACACCATCACCTTAGACAAAACAGGTAGATCCTGGGCCTTGTCATGGAAATCCCACTTTCTTCCAACTCTTGGATCTTTCTGTTGTAAGTTCCACCTTGGCCTCATGCAGGAGTCCCTCTATGCTGAGTGCCTGGACGCCAAAATACTGATACACACAGCCATTCAGGAAGAAATAAAGGACACACTACAAACACACGTTTTGGCTTAAGGAACTTCTTTAAGGCTTATGGTTGTAATTGACAATTATTTTTAATCTCAGACAACTGAGGGGGGGATCTCTAGCTCCCTGGATTCAATCAGGATTTGCATTTATGAGGTTCTGTGAGGTGGAGTTAGGGGTATCCAACAGGGTCCCCATGAGGTTTGAAGTGTGGATCACCAGCAGTCCGTCCAGGTCACCTTTCTGCACACCCAGAGGTTCCCTGGACAAGTCTTGCAGTTCCCTTCTTCTTTGCACAGACACTGGAGGACAGTAACACTTGGTGGTTTGTGGACTGTGTGACTCTGCTCATGTTTGCGTTAAATGTGCCTTCATTTTCCAGGAAGAGCCTGTGACTGACAGTCCAGAGCCACCAGGATCCCCACACGTGGTTTCTGCAGAATGCCACAGACTCATGTTCCTTGGGCACTCAAGCTGTCCATCTGCTCTCCCAAAGTGCCTCTCCAAGGAAACTCTTAACTGGGCAAGTCTTGCAGTTCCGTTCCTTGATACCTCCTGAAGATCTGACGTTTCCAAAGCATCTGTGGTACTGTACCGCTGTGTCTTTGGTTTCCATGTGCTGACTGGTTGATGATCTGATCTTTCACTGTTCCTACCACCCAGCACCAGAATGCCAAAATAGTAAGACCAAATTTCAGATGGAGAGTGTAACAAAGTTGGAAATTTTTCATTTATTTTTTTTCTTTTTATTTTTTCCATTTATTTTTATTAGTTGAAGGCTAATTACTTTACATCATTACAGTAGTTTTTGTCATACATTGAAATGAATTAGCCGGAAATTTTTCATTTAAAATTCTACTTTTCAATAAATACAGGTCTGGTTTTGGCCAACTGCTCCCTAGAATCCAGTGTTTCTCATCAGCAAGTATGTGACTTGTGTATTTAGTATTTCTGCTCTAACACCTGGCCCGGGTGCCATCCGCTGTCCCGGGATAGGGCCAGGCCATCCTTACTGGCCCCATGACTTCAAGCGCAGTATCCAGCCATTCTAAGTGTTGGCTCACAAGTCAGGAGGCTGCTTTTACCTCTGTAGTTCACAGGGTTGCACGGGGTTGACTGGCATGGCACTTGGGACAGGATTGTCCCGTGTGCCCAGGACCATGGGAGGTGCCAGTCGGGCCTCCATGTGTCAAGTGGTTCATTTGACACTGTCCTCGTCCTCATCCCCATTGGCTTCCTTGGGAGTTCCATCCAGAGCCCTGGCTCCAGGAGGCTCTCGAGCGTAGTCCTCAGTCCGTGGTCTTGGAGCCAGCCCACCCCGGCTTAGAACTCAGCCTCCTCCAGTGTTCAAGGAGGTTCCAGCTAACTCTGCATCCTGGAGCCACCACCCTTCCTGCCCAGGAGCCATGCTTGATCCTGACCTCACCCTGTGTCCTCACCTCGGCTGACTGGCGAGCCCACACCCCTGGAAGTCGCCCTCTCCTGAGTGGAGACCCCTCTGTTCTTTCTGTGTTATGTGGGATGAAGCCCCCCACCTTCTCAGCCTGAGCTGATAGCACCATAGCCATCAAGGATCAGGCAAAAGTTGAAACCAATGTCCTGAAGACTTCTGCTGAGTCTCAGCTCCTGTCACTGTGACAGAATACTGCAGCTGAGCAGCTTAGAAATGTCGGATTTATTCCTGACAGTTCTGGAGGCTGGAGGTCTGAGGTTGCCAGGTCTCGTGGTCTGGCTGTGGCCAGGGCCTGCCCATTTGCAGACATCTACCCTGAACCCTCCAATAGTAGAGAGAGCCTGCTTTTCCCAGGTTGTTCTGATGAGGGTGCTCATGAGGGCTCCACCCTCCTGACACTAGCACATGGGGGTAGATGTAAACTTGAAAGCGGAAAGTGTTAGTTGCTCACTCATGTCTGACTCTTGGCCACCCCATGGAGTGTAGCCCCCAGAGGCTCCTCTGTCCTTGGGATTCTCCATGCAAGAATACAGGAGTGGGTTTCCATTTCCTTCGCCAGGATCTTCCTGACCTGGGATCAAACCTGAGTCTCCCACATTGCAGGCAGATTCTTTACCATCTGAGCCACCATAAAAATGGGGGTGATGCACCCTCTTCCGGCAGACAGCACCCCTGGCCAGATATAGTGACTCAGACCTGGAGTGACAGCTCCAGCCAGGAGAACAGGCTCCTCAAGGGCTCAGGTTCCAACCTGGAGGGCAGGGGTTCCCGAGCCTTCCCAGGGGGTGGGGCCTTGCAGGGCAGGTACTGTCCTGACCCTCGACCCTGTGTGCACACCTGCTGCCTTACAGCCTGCCCTTTCTATGGTCATCTAGAGAGAAACGTCTGATCATCAGGACTAGAATGGGCTTTTTCTTTTAACTGTGTATATTTATTTACACATTTATATGTATTGTAGAATATTGAATAATGTTGGTAAAAATAGCAAACAACACTAAATATTAGTACTACTAAGTTTTTCTTTTTGTGTAATTAAAAAATTGTTCTGCTATGCTTTTCCTACACCCCCTGGGATGGATGCCTAACCCCAGCCCCTCAAAGTAAATCGACAGATCAGTCCAGTGAGGACTGACACAAGTCATGGCCCATGATTAGGCCAATGGACTTGAGAATGAGCTTGCAGAAAAAAATCCTCTTTGCCTGCACCTCCACTTACATTTCTCCAGCTCAGCTCTGAGCTTTACAAGTGAACTGGAGAGTCTGTGTTCCTTCCTTGGGGGATCCTGTGACTTGACCGTAAGTCACTGCTAAAGACAGATGAGCCCTACAATTATATAAAACCTCGCTGTGACAGTGTCTTAAAATGCATGGCCTCCTTGGCCAGGGATAGGCATTTGAAAAGCCTGGCAGGCTACAGTCCATGGAGTCACAAAGAGTCAGACAAAACTGAGTGACTAAGCAATGTCACCTCAGCTTGGGGACTGGCTTCTACAACCAAAGTTGGGAACAAGAGAACCAGAGCCTTGTACTTGAGCTCCCATTGATGGCTGAGGACCTGGGACTTTCCAAGAACAGGTCAGGACCTACAGAAGCCTCAAGGCCAAGAAGAAGTGGTCCTCCCTCCCTGCTCTTCGAACCCTGCGACCTTGGTGTCCACACTGGATGTAAGCCTGTGCCTGACCAAGATCACTCCAGCAGTGTGATCTTTGAAAAGTCCTGAAATCTTTGCACTTTCATGGCCTCAGATGCACACGTGCAGAGCTGCTGTCAGTCATTTAGGGATGATCTTATAACTGATAAACATTGTTCATGTAGAGAAGGTGAGCTGCTTTGCACAATAATGTAAAATGCTTAGAACCTTTGCATAACCTGCTAAATGGTCCTAATGAAAGAGGACATTGGTGGCTCAGTGGTAAAAGTTGGACGTGACTAAGCACAACCCAGCCCTACCTCCATCTGCTCCCATCCTCCTCCTCCTCACTTGCTCCTGCCTTTCTCGGGCAGTATGCCACCCCCACTCCAGCCCACACCCCCCCTTTCTCCCCTACCCTTGGTACGTGATGCTCTGTTCCCTGTTTCCCCTGTGTTCTGCTGCACTAAGTGGGAACTGCTAGCCTCTCTGACTTCCCTAATTCCTTTCCTCAACCACCCGTCCCTCCTGGACATCGGCTTCCATGTCCTCACTTCACTCCTGGGTCTGCCCACTCCCTCCTGCCCGTGGAGCCGTGGCCGTCCAGACTCTAGATCCAGGTGTGCTCCCACTGCCCTCAACTCTCTGCTCCTCAGCATCTCCTGATCCAAACTGCATTCTCACAATTCCACACACAGCCTGAACCTGGCACTCTGCCTCCCTCTGCGGCCGTTTTTTGTAACTCAAGTGACTCTGCCCTTTGGACCCATGTCCCAACTTCACCTGGTTT